AGTACCTCCTTTCCAACCGGAGAGTGACGTATACACTTGGCAAGGCGATCATTATAAGACTGCTACTTAAAGGTTTTGCTCAAGGAGGACGTCTAGGCCCAACTCTTTGGAACTTAGTAGTCGACCTCCTACTGAAGAGGATTAGTATTGAGGAATTTATTCAGGCATTCGCTGACGACATTGCATCCCTTATATCCGGCACAGAGATAACTGACATCAGACAAAGGGCGCAATCAGTTGTACGGACAATTGAAACTTGGTGTACGGAAGCGGGTCTCCAAATAAATACACAAAAGTCAAAGGTCGTAATATTCACGCACCGTCATAATGTATCTTTGGACCAACCAATACTGTACCAGGGGACCCCCCTTCCAGTTACAACTACGGTTAAATACCTAGGAGTGCACCTAGACTCCAAACTGTCGTGGATTACCCACTTGGAAAAAAAAGATAACTGCGGCCAACATCCAACAAGCAGCGATCAAGAAAACTACGGCAAGGAATTGGGGCCTTAACCCAACAACCCTCAGATGGATATATAAATGCGTGACAAGGCCAACGATCACTTATGGAAGTCTCTTCTGGGCCAATTCTGCCATGCAGAACAAGAGCATGAATAACAAGTTAACTAAAGTCTTCAACACGGCAGCCAGATCTATAACAGGAACATCTAAGTGTTCGCCACTCACTAGCACAACTTCTATAGCAAATATTGAACCGGTTAACCTTAGCGTAAAAAGAACGGCTTTCTTGACTTTAAACCGGATACAGTCATCAAGCCCTTATATAGAAACTTTACCACCCAAAGGCAAATTCACTCCCCACTCTAAGTTTGGAAAGGACCTTCAGCAGAATATCTTTGACCAAAACCTACCATTTGAATCGGTGGACAGAACCATTAAACCATTCTATAATATAGACAGGCAATTCACCGTCGATACCTCACCCAATATCGACATGTCGGATTTCTACGACCTACCCTTCTGCTCCCTAGTTTTTACGGACGGATCAAAAACTTCAGAGGGTAAAACTGGATCCGGCTGGGCCATCTTCCACTGTCAAAATCCGGCAGAGCCCAACTGTGGAAAGATCCGGATATCAGACCATTCAACGGTATTCCAAGCCGAAATGTTTGCAATCTGTGCAGCTACACTTAACCTGCTTGATAACCCGGACTTTATCAATCGGAACATTCAGTTCTTCAGCGACAGCATGAGCTCTCTCCATGCGCTGTCAAACCATTATCCCACTTCAACTATGACAATAGACACCATAAAAGCCTTGAACTCCCTAGGTTTGAAATCAAAGATAACGCTTCACTGGGTAAGAGGCCACACAGGGGTAACGGGAAACGAACTCGCGGACAGCCTGGCAAAAGAAGCCACCAGTCTTGATAGTGTGGGACAGGTTACCCCCGTTCCGTACTCCAGCTTCAAAGCCAAACTCAAAAGTTGGTCTTTCGCGCAAAGCAAATCATCTTTAGATTTAGAAGCATCACCCTCCACTAATAAGCTTCATAAGCTAGTTGTCTCCCTCCATAAGAAAGAATCATTATCCACCATCACAGAAATGACAACAGCGGATCTTCATAAACTTACCAACATACTTTCTAACAGAGCACCTCTATACTCATTTTTGTTTAAAATAAAAAAGAAACCTACAGATATCTGTCCTCGATGCCATCTACAATCTAGAACCAGAAGACAATGTCCATTTTCTTTGTAATTGCCCATTTTTATTCACCTTACGAAGCGCTACCTTTGGTTTTCCAGTTCTTAAAATAAATGACCTTTTCAAAATAAAATCCTTTAAATTATTATCATTGATTAAAAAAAGCGAAATTTTCCTTAGACAATACGTACAATGATTTACATTACTATACAATCATTTCTATTGCTAATTCTTGAGGGTCCGATTAAATATTTTTCATACCGTAACTACATTATCCTGTAGCCTTCCGTTTTTACAATTTAGGATTTTTTCACTTCACTCAAGATACATTACTTATATTCACTTATGATACATTGCAATTAATATTCCATCATACACTTCTTTTACTCAATGTACTTCTTCTTCATTTAAAAAAATCAAATAAAAATAAAAATCAAAATAAATATCTTCAAGCTACGCTACTCTACACTCGCTAAAACACGTTAGCCCATAAATAACACGCTTTAGAAATTATCATCACAGGACAACATGACACCTAAAACTTTGAACATAACACGAGGAAACATGGACAAAACTGAACAAAGAACCACATTCGAAGACTGAAACATCTGAATGACTCTGCAACCCAGGAATCCACTATTCAGTTATTATCGCTCAATAATCGGTTTGGTATCGACGTTACATACTTTATTATTTTTTTTTTAAAGATGATTTTAGAAACCAGGGAATTTCAATTAAAGTTACCCTCCTAAGGCTAACATTAAATCGCTGATTTTATTTATATATATCTTTTTTTTTGGTTCTTTCTTTTCCTTCAAAACATTCCACTTCCAGTACATTGTGCAGAAAGTTGGAGATGAAGCCGTAGTACGTACATGTAGCATTGCACTGGATCGAACTTGCAGAGTGTGGTTTCCTCCAGTCTGCGCCGCGCGCTTATATAAACATACGCGGCGCAGATCGACTGGAGGAGATTGCACTGTGTAGGCTCCGGTGTAATGTGATATGTATGTACTACGGCTTTACAAATTTTGGAAGCATGTAGGGATATATATCTGATACCAATCGTATAAACTAAAAATACTCTAGCACAATTGTAACTGCAGTTTTACAGAACTCTAAATGCTTAATGAACACTCTTGCAGGTACCACCCGTATTCACACTCAGACCTGAGTTTAGTCATTTTCCGATACGAGATTGGGGACGGGTTCTATAAACAAACAAACAAACAAACATGTAGTAAGTTACACGAAACAAACCAAAACACATTACTTACTACCCCGCTTTTAATTAGATTAGAACTAGGCCAGAATGTGGTTGAGTTTTATAACTTGAGAAAACCTCTTTACAATACATTTTCCACGTACCTGCCAAGAAGTTAAATGTCTCGTCAACAAAGATGCGTCGATTAAAACAAGCTAACTTATCGCAGGCCAGGTTTAGTGTAAGCTTACAAAGACACGAGATCGAGAATAAGAAATGCAGTCACAACGTGCTGACGGACCAACGAACCATTCTGATGTATATTGCAGGTATGTAGAGTAAAGGAACTTGATATAATGCGTCACGTGCACTTCACGTGACCCGTCCGAGAAAGCTCAGAATACAGAGTTTAATGTCAGCAGGTAAGGTAACGTGATGTGTAACGTGACATTTCATTAGATCACTCGGGTGTTATATTACCTACCTACACGAATGAGCTATTAATACATATACTAGTGACGGTCCAAGACGTTGAGTGCTACATACAAAAAGGGATTATTCTGCGACAATCTTAAAACGTGATGGCTAACGCTAGTTAGCTCGCTAATTAGCGTTTGAAATACTTAACTAGACTTAGATTACTACGTACTTATGTTAAAATCGTGCTTTTTTGCTTTTTGCTCTAGTAACACTATAATAAACACATGTTTGATACTGTTGCTGTTACAGTTTGAGGTATACTCAGAGAAGAGATCCTGCACTCGGTGCAGTGAAATGGTGTTTTGGCTAAAATGTGGGCTCTGCTCCGACTGTCACGAAAAAAGAGCGGTAAGGAAGTTACTTTTACCTTACCAGTAGCATATAAAAATGTTCTTATAACTATAACTTTCCGCACATTGATCTAACCATGTGCTTTCGCGCCACTTGTATCACGTTGCGACCCCCACGGTCGTTTCACTATCCTGACGATACAGGGGGAGCTTGTATCACGTTGCGACCCCCACGGTCGTTTCACTATATGGTGACGATACAGGGGGAGCCGCGCACTCGTGCTCGGCGGGTCATACAACGTATGACAAAGTTATACAGTTAAGGAAAGTGCAGTGATTTTCTAGTGTATAACTATAATTTTCTGTTAAAAATCAGGATTAAATATTTAGAAATTTACAATTCCATTAACTGTACTCATTATGATTGACTGTTTTACAGGATCGGGATCCCTGATATGATGAGTCGTTCGTTTCACCAAAATCCTGTGCTCTGATCTGCTTGGCAAACTCAAAGACCAAAAAAAGTGAACTTGAATCAGACAACAGAAGATCTTCATGGTCAAACTTCAAAATGATTTGACGAAAGTTTAATAACAATGTTATTGTTAATCCAAGACTTGAGACTGAAGACGATTGTACGCGAATTTTGATTGAAGTGTGAAGAAAAAAAATAGTCGCCACTCGCCAGTCAAAACATTTATTAGATACCAATTTCTGCTAGATTCATAAAGTAACGAAATGATAGTCTGGTTCTAATTTAATTATTACTAGGAGTTCGTATATATATATATATAATTATATATATATATATAAAGATATACAAGTGTTTGTAGCACATTATATCGGTATGTTGAAGTTATTATTCTTCGACTTAACAATAACTGAATGATTTCACCTAATACTAATAGATTCACTCTAACTTCATAATACAACTATTTTTAGTTTACTGCATATTATTATTATTTTTTGAAGGACTAATTGAAATTCTATTATTTGAAATAAAGTTAATTTATACTTCTACGTTTTACCGATCGTGCTAAATCACTCTACAGTCGATCTTCGAGATTGTTCTAATCACTCTACACTCGACTGTCACGTGACTAATTTTTCAACCCGTTCTCTAGCTGGTCCTTAAAGACTATTGGAAACCCTAACCCTCTAATCTGATCCCAACCCTAACCCTAACCCAATCCTTAACAAAAGCATAAGCTCTAACCCTTACCCTAACGAGAAATTATACTAACTTCTTTATACGGTCATACTCATATCACGTGATCGAGACAGTTTTTCGCCAATATCTCGTCAGGGGAGCATTTAACCCTATGTCATTGCGCATAAAATTGAAACTTTCAACTCTGCTCATAAAGTTATATTCGATTGACATATCTTACTATAAGTATATATAAAGCGAGACGATATATATGGATCCATACCATTTTACTGACACTGATCGTGGTTGTCCATTGACATTGTCGTACATCTCAAATATGCTTAAATTCTAACAGAGTGGAAAATGTCTATCGGTATTCGGTATCAAACACAGAAATTTGCAACTACTTTATCAGGATAATCTGATATACAAACAAAACTATGAAAAAAGCTCTAATAACAGTCATAAAATGTTCCAATATGAAGGAAAACAATCTAAAAGATTGTTTACGTAAGCCATAGATTGGCCATTTAAGAGCACTCTCGTTTCTCTACAACCTTTTTTATGACGTAGACATTTTCATTATGTAGAAATTACATTAGCGTAAAATTGTCCGAACCCCGCTCCTTCTAGGCTGCAGCTGACGTCTTATATGAGCGACCCTCTTCTGCTTCAAGTGCAACAAAACTCCCATTTTCTGATGTAAAACTGTCTTGATCCATTTGCAATTCGAATGCCGCTGTGTGTCAAGATTAAAACCCTCACTTGATGACGTAATTAGTTTGATTACGTAATTAGTTTGATGACGTAATTCATTTGATAACGTTGAAGATACTCTTAAGTTTACTGCCGTCTGTTGAAGGGCTGGCTGGCACACCAGAACTCGTGAATTTTTTGGGACGTTTCGGCTCACTTGCAAACTGAAAGAGGGTAGTAAGTTGTCGAATATCAATATGAGAAAGGCAGTCATCAACTTTTACTCAAACAAATTCACTAAATTTCCACTGACCAGACCTAATTATCGCCTATCAGTGAAATATTTTAATTACCTTGCCACTGCTCTTCCTCTTGGTCTGGCCCGGACTAACAGTCTGAAACACGTACGCCCGGTTGCTGGTTTTATCAGAATTCAGGGAGGACGAGGTAACGCTGGATAGTCTGGACAGAGTCCCGGTTGTGTGCTTGAGGAAACTACCGCATTGCTGAAGGGGACAAGTTGGTGTCATAATACATTTAATTAGTGATATTTGTGTGTTGAAAGTTTCTAATAATGTGTTGGAAGTTTCTAATATAAATATGATTTGATTTGTTGTGTTCTAGTTAATCATGTTTTCGCACACCTGACTCGAGGAGAACGCAGATCTGGAATTTGAGTCGGTGATGTCTTGGAGGGTGTCTAGAAACGCTTGACTGTCCTCATCAACCCTGTTCATTTTGCTTGCCTGGTCAGGAAATTATGTGGGTGAATTAGGGAGAAATGTGGGTGACGCTGGTGGAAAACTGAGAATTGTGGGTAAAGCTGAGGAAACTGATAAATTTTGTTGAAGCTGGGAAAAATGAGTATTGTGATTGGTAGATAAAGCTGGAGGCAAGTGAGAAATTATGGCGATAGTTACCTCTTTTATGCGCTTTTCTTTAACAAACTGCTCCCTTTTTAACCGTTCAGTTCGCTTTTCCATAGCCTCCTTATATGTTTCAGCACTCGTCTCCACTAAAATATCATGTAAAATAAACCATAATAATCTGGGTCCCATGATTTGTGGCACATAAAATCAACTTTGTAAGAATGTTAAGAATGAAAAAACTGGCTTTAAGTTTAAGTACCATTATCGTCCTCGAAGTCGAGTCCAAGGTTTGTTGAAAATAAATCCATGTTGGAATCTTCGCCGTGGAATTTACGAGTCCTAAAAAATCCTTGCTCCTCCTGCAACATAAATAAATTATCTCCGTGCCTCTCTGACATAAGATCGAGGGTGTTCACTCAACATACCCGGCATAATTATTATTATTAAAGCAAGCTTCTAGTTTCGGGATAGCCTGTAGCAGGCAACGCCCGATACTAATGCTTCTACAGACCTACACTAGTGCAAGTAAGTATAGTAAATATTTCATGCTAAGCATGTGGCACCCATTACGGTAACCATCCATTGAAACAACCCGGCACAATTAATGAAATAAAAACTACAACTGGCACGAGCAATGACCATCTAAACACAATTTGAAGTTGGAATAAGACCACAACCTGAATGAATCTCTCCTTGAGCCGTTTAATCTGATCCTTCTCATCTAACGCCTGCTGGTCATGGTAGGCTAGTTTCAGCTGGGCGGCTAATTCTTCCTCGTCCGAGGGCAGTTCCGAGTCCTTCGCCATCATACTCTTGTCATACTCATCATGGTCCTCTGAAGGAAAGTTTGTTGTTCATATAAAATATATAATGGTCGTTCACATATTACGTAATCACTTTTTGAAACATTTTTACCCCCCCCCCCCTCCGTAATCAGATTTACACATACCATTGTGTCAAAATTACACTAGCATAATCATTTCGAAACCCCCCCCCCCCCCCCTCAGCTGATTATGTAATATAACCCCTATAATAGACACGGCAAGCAAACGTATCTATTTTAGATAGACAAATATACTTTAAAATGGTACCTTCGTTTTCATCATCACTGTGATCTGAACCACTCTTTTCAGCTTCATTGTCAAGTAAGTCAGAATACAGTGCTCGACGTTTCTTTCCTGTGGTGTGTCACGTGTTAAATTTGAAGTGGATGATCCAGAAAAATGAAAATTAACCTACGATGTGATCTGAACATGTGATCAGCTCAAGGCACACAAATGTAGCATCACACGATCCATCACAGAACAGCTGACCTCTCGCACCCTGTGCTCCGAGATGGTAGCCTGTGCTAACCACCTCTCAACATGTGGGGAATTTAGCAATACTTACCCTGCTAAATTAACCGCTACTTCCGGGAGAGCAGATGCTGCTCAGCAGCAGCAGCCTTATTATATACATTACACACTATGTATAATATTGGATATACATGCCATGTGAGAAATGTGCTGCCTGTCGGTACAGCGGCACGCTATCTCCCCATCATCAGAAACTTGAACCCAACTTCTGAGCGCGATACAACCAGTATGTCACGTGACATGCAAACCAACACCGATACCAGCACGTCACGTGATATGCTAACTAATCGCGCTATCTGCACTTCAAGTTCAACTGTCAGTGTAAACCAGTGCAGATACGTAATATCAGTTCGCGATGACCTCTCACTGCTCACTTCCGGCATGTGCAGCCTTCCCGAGCACCGCTCACTCGACAATGTATATACACGTACATCACATATCTATACATTGGATGAGAGCAGAGTTCGTACCCGGCAGCACATGCCTCCCTCACCACTTGCCAACACTTGTCACCCACAAGACGGTGAAGAGACCTCGGGTGGTGCTGGGAGACAGCGGTCATCTGATTCGACCAGTTCAACCGGCTCTCAAAGGTCCAAGATACATGGGAGGAAACCTCTAGCAAACCGTCACCATCCCTACAGGATATCCAACAGCAATGGTGACGATGAAGAGGACGATGAGGACCCATCCAGATCCAGGAACAAAATCCCTAGCCGCTGTGAACTTGACAGCAAAGAGTCAACGTTAGATCGTAAGACAGCCAAACAAAAGAAGCGGGCCAGTCTTCCCTGTAGGATTGAAATCAAGGGTAACGATGAGCTAAACGCAACTCAAGCTGTTACTGACAAGCCTAACGCCAGCATGATGTCCGAAACATCCTTTTTTGGGATAATTGGATCATACGCAAGAAACTGGATTGTGGGTCCAAACCCTAACGGCACCATCAATGAGGACAACAGAGTTTGCCCCAGTCAAGGCTTAGGCACGCCTATGACGAACAACAATCACGACCTGTCCCCATCTGAGTCACCTATACCACAATGACAACTCAGATCCCAGAAATAACAGTCCACTCACCGAAGGAGAATAAACTTAACAACTCTACGTGTGATCGGCACTCTGACAACCTTGCAACACCCAAAGGCTCAGAACCCTCCAAGGACGCCTACTTCACAGGATTCGGCAAGCCTTGTAATGCTAAAAGAGTATAGGACCATAATGAACTCTTGTCACACAAAAGAATTCGGGAAATACCTAACAGACTCTTCAAACCTTCGAAATCCTAAAAATAAGTCCTAATCCTCGTACTCGAACTTTATTTACTGTATTACCTTAAATTATTATAGACGATCTTCTTTTATTTTCGTGAAATTGTAAACGGTTAAATTTTAATAATTTTTAAATGATTCAGTTTTAATAATTTTATTTATTGATTTATTTATTCATCCTTGTATAGCCAAGACGAGTCCGTTAGTGTTCTCTCTGGTAATTTCATGTTTAATCCTGTTTAATCCTGTTTAATCCATGATCCATCACATGATATATACATGTGGTAGTGACCGGTGACAGCGAATAAACAATCAGCTTCCAGTAATAACCCATTGAAACCCAAACGTCGTCGTCAAAACAAATATGAGGTATAACAATACCTCCCCGCCAGTAACCAGATCAATACAAATGATAATGAATCACGTGACGAAATAACCATCTCATCAAGGAACTAACATACCTTTGGCTTTACTAGAGACATGTTCCTCCTCTTCATCACTCTCTTGACTCAGTAACCCTGCAAGGTTACCAAACCTGGTCAGAGGTGTCTGAGACAGCCCCTTTCTCAGGGGTGTCTGATCCGTGCCGCCCTTAAAAAGTGTAGTTTGGTCCGGGTCACCGTTTGGAAGTGGTGTCCGGTTTTTATAGGAGGGTGTTCTAGAATGGTTTGGTGTTTGGGATAGTCCAGATCCTGCGGAGATATGCGTGCAAGTTTGGAAATGTGGTTAATGGTCTCAAAAGCAGATTAAAAAGAGGGAGAATTAGAAGAAACTTACAATTCTAGTTAAGTAGTTTGAATGGAAGCAATCCCCAGTGAGCTACAAAATGATAACTTCTAAATAATGACCAACCAACTAGGCTGGGAGAAGTAGCCAGGTTAAAACTGATGTCCTGAACTGTAACCCTGCCCCCCGAACCTCCACTATCGGGGGCCGTGCCCCCAAAACCTCCACTATCGGGGGCCGTGCCCCCAAAACCTCCACTATCCGCAGCTGACGACCCAAAGCGTCCTGAACAGAGATTTAGCAGGTCCATGGAATTGTCGAGCAGGGAACCGTCTCCAGCGAGAGCGTCTATTCCTCCTTCACCACTGAGGGGCAAAGGTTGTAGTTATACACCGTGTCAACGTGTGATATATTCAGGGTGATAACTACTGTCCGACGGCGACTCCTGTCCGACAGCGACTCCTGTCCGACAGCAACTCTTGTCCAACAGCGACTCCTGTCCGACAGCAACTCCTGTCCGACAGCGACTCCTGTCCGACAGCGACTCCTGTCCGACAGCGACTCCTGTCCGACAGCGACTCCTGTCCGACAGCAACTCCTGTCCGACAGCAACTCCTGTCCGACAGCGACTCCTGTCCGACAGCAACTCCTGTCCGACAGCGACTCCTGTCCGACAGCGACTCCTGTCCGACAGCGACTCCTGTCCGACAGCAACTCCTGTCCGACAGCAACTCCTGTCCGACAGCGACTCCTGTCCGACAGCGACTCCTGTCCGACAGCAACTCCTGTCCGACAGCGACTCCTGTCCGACAGCAACTCCTGTCCGACAGCGACTCCTGTCCGACAGCAACTCCTGTCCGACAGCGACTCCTGTCCGACAGCGACTCCTGTCCGACAGCGACTCCTGTCCGACAGCGACTCCTGTCCGACAGCGACTCCTGTCCGACAGCAACTCCTGTCCGACAGCAACTCCTGTCCGACAGCGACTCCTGTCCGACAGCGACTCCTGTCCGACAGCGACTCCTGTCCGACAGCGACTCCTGTCCGACAGTGACTCCTGTCCGACAGCAACTCCTGTCCGACAGCAACTCCTGTCCGACAGCAACTCCTGTCCGACAGCGACTCCTGTCCGACAGCGACTCCTGTCCGACTCAATTTGTGCTAGTTTCATTACCAAAAGACGAAGCCTCAACAAATGCAACAAATTAGTAGCGTTGTACAATTTACCTGATATCAAGACCACTACGTAACATTCCCTGAGTGTCCAGAAAAACAGCGTCCTCGTCAGGTGGGAGAAAGTTAGAGGAACTCTTTCCAGAGTACTGAGAGTCCTCTACTACGTTACGGACTGAGAGTATTAATCATTACGTGTTACAATATCTTACAATATCTTACAATATCTTACAATATTTAACAATATCTTACAATATTTAACAATATCTCACAATATTTAACAATATTTTACAATATTTTACAATATCTTACATTATTTTACAATATTTTACAATATCTTACAATATCTTACAATATCTTACAATATCTTACAATATTTTACAATATCTTACAATATCTTACAATATCTTACAATATCTTACAATATCTTACAATATTTTACAATATTTAACAATATTTTACAATATTTTACAATATCTTACAATATCTCACAATATTTTACAATATTTAACAATATTTTACAATATTTTACAATATCTTACAATATCTTACATTATCTTACAATAGTTTACAAAATATTACAATATATTCTGACCAGCGGTATCAACGTCGAAGGTTTTCTCGCTAATGGGTAACGTGTCCATACTATCAGGTATAATCGTACTCGAGATGTGAACTGAATCTCTGAAAAAATGCCGTTAATTAACCCATTTATCAACTCTGCCTGCCTCTGGGGTAGGGCAACCCTGAAGGACCAAGGGGGTTGCCGGAACTATCTATGTGGAGGTGAAGTGGCAAGTGAACTGGGGGAGAAACATATGGCTTCTCGCTCTTGCATTGCTCTAATGCGTTAAAGCAAATCGTTGGAGAAACATTATGATTCAGAAAACATTCCAAAAAAACTCATTTACCTGGAGGCACTGGGGAGAGATTGACTATCTGATGGTCGACTGATTCCAGTTAGAGATAAGCCACCGCTACCTCCAAACAAATCTTGTATACTAGTACCTGAGAACGTGACGTGATGAATTATGATTGTAATTAGGAAATATTTATGCAATTAGGGTATAATTTATACAGCAATTAACATGACGAGAATATTTAACAAGCTGTGAAGGACACTCAAATTAGTTCTACATTCTACAAACTATTAACAGTATACCCTTCCTAGACTATTTAAATCATGAGCTATGCTTTGTGACGAAATATTTATCAATAAAACCAGAGTTAACGATTTAAATTTAAATAAACGTACAGCTATCCTCCCTTTTCTGGGTTTTCTTTCGATAAATCTTCTTCTTGATTTCTTCCCTTCTCTTCAATATGTCCTGCAACTTTCTTCTCGCTTTCTCTTCTTTTTCCGACTCAGAACCGATTGCTACCCGTTGCACATGCCTTTTTTCTCTTGCTATTCGTTTCTTTCTACAGTACCTACGAGTAAAATGTAGAGAAATCTGATATCAAAAAAATAGCTTACTCTACTACATGTACTCTACTACATGTACTCTGCTACATGTACTCTACTACATGTACTCTACCACATGTAATCTAATACATGTACTCTACTACATGTACTCTACTACATGTACTCTACTACATGTACTCTACTACATGTACTCTACTACATGTACTCTACTACAGCTCTACTACAGTACCTACACAGTACTCTACCACATGTACTCTACAAACATGTACCTCACATGTTACCCTACATTACTACACAACTCCACAGTCTCAAACTACATGTACTCTCTAATGTACTCTAAATGTACTCAACTACTTTTATCTACTCCTGTACTTACACATGTACTTACTACTGACCTACTCTGTATCTATAATGTACTCACTACTGTACTTCACATGCTCACTACAGAATACTACATGTACTCTCCCAATGTATTCTCATGACTCAAAAATGTACCTTTCTACTGTACTCTACTACATTACTCTACCACATTTTTACTCTCTACAGTACCCTCTACTGTACCCTACTAAATTACTTTTAAAACTGTACTCTCCCAGTATCACTAATGCCTACTACATGTCTCTATAATTTCCTAATACGTCTCTTTTCATGTTCTCTATAATTTCTCTCTACTGTACTCTACTCATGTACCTACTCATGTCTCTCTACTTGATTTCTACTACGTACTCTATAAACTGTTCCCCTATTTTCTGTCTCTCTCAGTACCTATACATGTACTCTCCAGCCTCTCATTTTCTTTTTCCCTCTGTATCTACCACATGTACTCACTAATGCTTACTACATTTCACTCATGTACTTACCACAGACTCTACTACAGTCTCTACCATGTACCCATACATGTACTCTATACAGACTTACTACATGTCTCTACTCCATTATCTTACTACATGTACTTACTACATTTTACTCATAATTACTCTATACAGTACTCAACATTACTCTACACACATGTAATTACTACGTTCTCTACTACTGTACTTACTACATGATTTTATACATGTACCTACTACGGGATCTACTACATGTACTCTACAACCATGTCTCTACAAATTTAAACTCTAAAATTTACCTACACAGTACTCTACACATGACTTACTAAATTATCTATACTTTTACCTACTACATGTCTCTACTAATGTATCTAACACATGTATTACTTATGTTTCTATACATTACTCTACTACATGTACTTTTAACATGTACTCTACTACATGTACTTACTCAGTATCTACTACTTTTCTCTACAAATGTATCTATACTGTACTTACCCATGTACCTATACATGTTCTACTAATGTACCTACATTTTACTCTACTACATGTCTCTACTACACATGTACTCTCTACAGGGTACTCTCTACATGTTCTATACATTACTTACTACAGTACTCTACTACTGACTCTACTACATGTACTCTACCAGTATCTATCATTTTACCTACTAATGACCTACTACGTACTCACCTTCTCTACTACATGTACTCTACTACATGTTCTAACTTTACTCACTAATGTCTTACACTGTACTCTACACTGTACTCTACTAAAACTTACTACATGTCTTACTACATGACCTACTACATGTACTTAAACTACATGTACTCTCTACTGTACTCACCATGTATTAACTACTGTACTCTTACATGTACTCTAACATGTATTACTCATGACTCTACTCATGTACTCTACTACTTGTTTTACACATGAACTCTATACAGTCTCTATAATGAACTCAATAATGACTCTACTACAGTACTCTCCCAAATGTATTATACATGTACTCTCCTACATGTACTCTACTACATGTATTACACATGTACTCTACTACATGACTCTACTACATGTGTACTCAAAACATGACTCAATACTTGTGTACTCTACTCATTCTCTACTTCCATGTATCTACTACATGCTTCTATAGCATATTAAACCGGGTAAGTCTCCTGGAGGTATCTGCTGGGCTGTAAAGCGTCACTTCACTCGCGAAGTGCAGGGAGCTCGTTCCCCCTGTATTTCATAGCTGACGTCTGGGGGGAAAGCCCAAGTCTTTATCCGAAAATTATTTACTTTATCTTGCATTTCTTGCTTTATCTTGCATCATCTAACATTTACATTACTTAAAATTTTTTTATCGTAAAAAATGATATTTAATCAGTGGCAAAAGTCATTTCCAAAACGTTGGGTCTTTAAACATTCTTTTCGGGGGGATTCTAACCCCAAAAATTTTTAAAATTTCGAATGGTGTAAAAACAATCAGTGACTAAAAAAAAGCCCAAAACTATGTACGTGATTTTTTTGGCCCACCTTCTTTTGTCATTGTACATTTGAATACTTAGATTTCTTACTTTATCTAATACTTTTCTTCAAAAAAAAATCGTGTCAGTGTCCGGTGGTATTTTTCCTGGGGTTCCCCCGTTTCCTCTGACTACTGCTCATTGTCGCCCGCAAATATGAGCAGCACTTTAATTCTAGCTTTCTGCCCTTCGCCCATCTCGGGAAAAAAAACATGAGCTCATGAGTGGAGTGGGGATTTTTCAATACTGACAGACAATTAAAAAAAAAAAAACCGTGCGATCGGACCAAAGGGGGAAAGTTTGAATGTTTTTATAAAACTACGTTGAACAAATTCAGGTTTTGGCCCCTTGGCCAGCAGTCGGAGTTTAGCCATCTCCTTCAGTTTCAAACTCTTGGCAATTCCTGTCCTCGGGGGGCAGCCAGGGGTTTGGGGCGTTGCCGGTTTGGATGCTGTCTTTTTGATCAAAAAATTTTTTGTATAAATTTTCTGCCGCAAAATGAATAAATAATTTTTTTTTTCTCCTCCTTTAAAAACTGATTTAAGGGGAAAAAGAAATTTTTTAAAAAAAAAAAAACCTGTGAGAGGGATTTCCGTTGTTCCTCTGGAGAAATTTTTCCCCTCCCCTTTTTTTCTTATTCTTTCCTTTTTTTTTTTCCCTTTTTCCTTTCCTTTTTCTTAAAAACCCTTTTTTTTTTTAAAAAATTTTTTTTTTTTTTTCAATTAAAAAGTTTTGGGATTGGGGGGAATTTTTAAAAAAAAAAAGGTTTTTTTTTTTTGTTTGTTTTTTGGATTTCCCTTTTAAAAAGATTTTTTTTTTTTTTGTTTTTTGTTTTTTTTTTTTGCCCAATTTTTAGGGTTGAGTCTTGAGGGGGCTTTTAGCGATTTCGGGGGGGAAACCCCGGGAAAGGGGTTTTTCCCTTTCATACAAAAAAAGGAAAATGAAATTTTTAATAAAAAAATTTTTTAAATTTTTTAAAAAATTTTTTTTCAATTTACCCCCAAAAAAGTATTAAAAAAATCTCTTTAATTTATCCAAATTCTTTTTTTTTTCCTTTTTTTCAAAATAAATTTTTTTTTTAATTCCTTTTGAGAGATCTCGGGTTTTTAAAGGGCTTTTTTAGGGGGGTCAAATTTTTTCCTTCTTCCCCTGGGAAACCCCTTTTTTTTTAAAAAAAAAATCTAAAAAAATTGGAAAATTTTAAATTTTTAAAAATTTTTTAGCTGATTTTTTTTTTTTTTTTTCTTTCATCCCCCAATCAGGGGTAATTTTTTTTTTTTTTCAATTGTTTTTACCTCCAGGGAAAAATTTTTTTTCCCCAAAAACTTTTTTTTTCCCATTTTTTCAATTTAAAACCCCTTTTTCCAATATTCTCCCTTTTTGGTTTTTAAAGGGTTTTTTTTTCGCGGGGGAAAGGGGGGGGGGGGCTGGGGGGTGGCCGGGACCACAAATCCCACTGGGGAAAATTAAAAAACAAAAAAAAAAAACATATTTTGTCCTATTTGAATTTTTTCCCCCGTTTTAACCAGATTTCTGGTCGTTTTTTTTCTTCCTTTTTTTGGGGAAAAAAATTTTAAAAAGAGGGGGGAAAAATTCTTTTGTTGAATCAATTTTTCCCGAAAACGTTTCCCCCCTCTAACAAAACCCTTCGCGTTTTCTGTTCAATCTTTGTTTTTTCCGGAAAAGGAAATCTTTCTTTTTTTTGGGCCTGGGGAAAATTTTGGGGGGGGGTTTTTCCAAAAAGGGGGAAAATTCCCAAAGGGTTTTAAAAACCCCAAAAGGGGGAACTTCCCAAACGGGGTCAAAAAACATTCCCAACATTTTCAAAAACCCCAAAATTAAATTCCAAACTTTTCAAAAAAATTTCCCCCCGGGGCAACTTTTTCCCCCTTCAAAAATTCCCCCGTTTACACATTTCCCAAACCCTGGGTCAACTTTCCCCCGTGGTAAAAATTAAAGTTTAAAAAACCCAAAGGGTTCAAAAAAAAAAAATTAAAAATTTTTCAAACCCCTTTTTAAACACCCAACTTCGTAAAAGGGGGGGGGGGCCCCTTTTTTAATTTTCCCGTATTTTTTTTAAAGAAAACTTTTAAGCTTTTTTTTTTTAAAAAGGCAATTTTTTCCCATCCGTTTATTTTAAAAGTACAAATTTTTTTAAAACCTGTAAATTTTATTGATTTTAAAAATTGTAAAATAAAAATGACAAATTTTGGGGGGGGGGGGGGGGGGGGGGCCCCCCCCAAAAAGTTTTTAAAAATTTTTTTCCCCCTTTTCCCAAAACTTTTTTTTAAACTTCAAAAAAAACCGAAATTTTTAGGGGGGTTTAAAATTTTTTTAAAAAGGTTTTCAAAAAAAGGGGGAAAATTCCGGGTTTTTTTGGTTTTTGGCGACAAAAATTTTAACCCTCAAATTTTAAAAAAAGGGGGGGGGGAAGTTTTTTTGGGGTTTTTAAAAATTTTGTTTCTTTTTTAGGAAAAAAAGGGGACGGGGGGCCCTTTTCCCCCTTTTTTTGGGGCGAAATTTAACGTAAATTTTTTTTTTTTTAAAAAAATTTTTTTAATAAAGGGGGGAATTTTGGGGGGGGGGGGGGGGGGGGGGCAAATTTAAGAAATTAAAAGGGGTTTTTTTTTTTTTCTTTTTTTTTTTTTCTTTTTTTCTTTTTTCTTTGGATGTGGGGCCCCCCCCTAAAGCTTAAACCGGGGTTTTAATTTCCCCCTTTTTAATGGGCAAAATCCCCCGGGGGGGGGTTAAAAAAATTTTTTTTACCCCTTTTTGGAGGCCCCAAAATTTGGCCCAAAAAACTTAAAAAATTCAACCCCCAAAAAAATTTAAAAATTTTTTTATTATTTAATTTTTTTTTTAAAGGGAGGGGGGGGGCCTAATTTTTCCCTTTTCCTAATTTTGGGATTTTCTTGAAAATCCCGGCTGGGAAATTTCATAAAGAAAAAGTTTTTTAAAAAGGTTGACTTTTTTTAAAGGCCCCAAATTTTAAAGTTTTAGCTTTTTCAATTGTTCAAAAAAAGGGCGGGAAAAATTTAAAAAATTTTTAAAAATCTTTGGTTTTTAGGAAAAATTTTTTTAATTTTTTTCAAAAGTTTTTAAACCGATTTTATTTTTTTTTTCCCCAGAAAATTCGTCCAAACGTTTTGGCTTTTTTTTTCGGGCCCAAAAATTGTTTGCCAAAAAACCCCAATTTTTTTAAAAAACGACCTTTTAAAAATTTTTTTTAAAAGGGTTTTTTTAAAATTTTTTAAAAAATTTTAAGTTTTTTGCCATAATTGTTAAGGACTAATTTTTTCTTTTCCCTTTTAAAACTTTTTTTCGCCGGTTTGGTTTTAAGTTTTTTAAAAAAATTTTTTAAAAAAATTTTTTTGGAAAAAGGGGCTTTAAAAAAGGGGGGTTTCCCGGGGGAAACCAATCGGGGGTGCCCGGGTTTAGGGGTTGGGCTTTTTTTGATTTTTTCCAAAAAGGTCACCTTTACCCCAAAAATATAAAAAACTTTGGGTTTTTTTTTTTTTAAAAAAGGGAAAAGATCAAGGTTAAAAAACAAACTACTTTTTGCAATTTCAATGCAAAAAAGGTTGGGGAAAAAAAATTAAGTCCCCTAAAGCATTTTTTCAAAATAAATTTTTTTTTAAATTTTTACCCCCCCAATTCCCCCCCCTTTTTTTTTTTAAATTAAAGACTTTTTCCCTTTTAAGGGGGTTTTCTCTTTAAAATTTTAAAAATTTTTGGGATATTCCATCAAAAATTCCCAAAAATTTTTTTTTTTTCCCCCAGTATTTGGTTTTTTTAAAAAAATTTTTTAATTTTTTCTTTCCCAAAAATTTAAAAAAAATGGTTTTTTTAAAAAATTAAAAAAAATTTTAAATTTACGAATTTGGGGGAAAGGGGAAAATTGGGTAAAAGCCCCAAATTTTTTTTTTTTAGCCAATTTTTGGGGAAATTTTTGGGGAATTTTTGTACTTCCTAAAAGGTTTTAATTTGGGGTTTTTTTTTCAAAACTTAAAAAATATAAACTTTATTTGGATTTTTTTAAATTGTTTTTTTTTTTGATTTTGGGGGGGATTTTATTTTTAAATTTTTTTTTCCCCCCCCCCCCCCCCCCCCCCCCCCCCCCCCCCCCCCCCCATTTTACAGCAGCAGGCAGATTTGGCACGATACTTTCAGTAGTTTGGTAAGCTATATTTATTTGAGAAGCACTATACAACTCTAGACCTCCCCATGAAGTTTCCCAAATCTTTAGGAAGGAAAAACTCGTCGGTTTTGGAGGACAACTTTGGCACAAACGCAGATTTCTTCTCCTCGACTCTGGTCGGTCTAAGAGTGGTGAGTTTGGGAATTCTGGCCAGGCAATCGCTTAGTTGGAGCGGAACAGGTTCGTGTCTTGGTAGGGATATCTCAGATTCTGAGGAGAGGAGGTTTGAACAATATTAAAGAATATCGAATATTTAATATTAACTGCATTGTAACAATCTCCTCGAAAAAAAGGAGAGTTCGTACAAAGTTTCAAAGCTGCTCGAAAAAATTTCATGGTTTCCAGCGCTCTTTCCGTCAATCATTATCCCTCCATTATTTCAGCTTTATCCGGCATTATCTAACAGGGGGTGATGCAACGACCATTAATGACCATTAATGACCATTAATGACCATTAATGACCATTAATGACAATGTCAGTTTTGCCAAAATTTCGAATACTGACATTAATGGTCATGTTTTTTTCCGCACTTCCTGGAACAAGAAGGACGGACACGAGGACCACTTAGAACCTACCTAAAGTTAACTAACAATAAGTAGACGGTACTTTACGTCTTGGAAGAGGATGAAAAGTTAATTTTACAACTTTCTCAAACACTGATATTACTACATATTACAACTAACCCAATTATACCATAACAACAACGTTCTCCCAATCTAAACTTATTATTGAACCATCCTGGGTCTTCACCCAACACTGGGAAGACATATCGTGCTCAATACAGATCGCCACCGCAGGTCTTCTCTCTCCCGACCGAGCATTTCCTTTTCTTTGTGATGCTTTAGATGTCTTAACAGATATAGAAAGCACTTTGCCCTGCACAACCGTGCGCCTTCTTTTTTCATCCTTGCCTGTTATGAGTATACCAGTTATTGTTCCACCAACTTGCACCTCTTGAGCGTTGCATAGCTCTGGTTCTGCTAAACCTTTACAGACTGGGCGATACAACCCAATACTTGTATCCAAGGCAAGACCAAAAAATCTTTTCCTTCGGCTTTTCGCACCAAAGTTGGTCTTGCTTTGGTTACAATATTTGGTCACGACCTTAGTGGAGCTATCAACCAGCTCTTCGTCCTCATAATCAGAAAAATTGTCTTCACTCTCATGGTCTGATTCATCATCTGATTGTTGTTCACTACCATATGAGAGTGGAAATTGGAGACTCCGCCGTCTTTCAGAAATAACATTTCCATTATCACCTGAAAGATACGAACTTCCATAACTAGAAGAGGAAACAAAGAGTTCCTCTCCAATCTTGGATCCTCTTTTTAAGCTTTGGATTATAAGGTTACTCATCTTGACCGAACCTCCAAAATCAACAGCAATCTTTTTCTCTGGATGTTTGCTCCACTCAGAACGAAAGAGTGTCTTCCCCCGGGTATGAGCGGTTTTATGAACACTTGTACCACATTCAACATCAAGCGTATTCTCCACCTCTAATAGTCGGTTGTAACGACCCATGGCTTCAGGGACTCTTGTAGAGTCGATTTGTGTGCGTCTACCGGAGTGCCGTCCAACCCTGATTCGAGCGAAGAGTTGTTCATTTTGATCAGACGATAAAAACCACGGTACTACTGGTGCTTTGGGGTGATTACAAATCAAGTCGACAAAATACAAGACAAGTCCGTTAGCTGCGGATATTAAGTCTTTGAAGCTTTCTCTAGTTATGAAGTTCTCGCTGGTATTTAATTTCTTCGAGTGTTCTCCCCACAGAGTGAAGAACGTGAAAACAGTCCACGCATTTTCAGCTCTTTCTGAAACAGTCAGCGATTTGTCATAAAACGCTGCCAGGAGCAAAAACCCGGCCTTAAGATAGGCCGAGAGGCTCAGAAATCCTGCTTGTTTTAGAACATCCCATTTAGCCGTTAGCTCTGCAGCACACTGCGGGTTTTGTCTATCAGAGTGCTGCAGAGTTGTAAGGGATACAGAGTCTCTGAATTCTTCACTTTCCGTAGCGAGTTTAAGAATCATCCCCCAGTTTAGGGTGAATTTCGTGTCTTCGATCGAATCAGAATCGGCCATTATGATGAATCTAGTACTGAGGTAATGGAGACAGTTAACCAGTTTTTTCAACTCATGACAGATGTCCTGCATGGGAAAGTCTCCTGTTTTGTTGAAGTAAAATACTGGCGGGTACTCCCACTTCGACAGCTCGCTCTGACTGGCTGTTTTGATCCATTCATCTGTATTGACCTAAGCCGCTGATCTCCGTACGAAACATGATTTCTCCCCTCAATTAGTCAAGGCTACTGCCAGATATTTCAAAATTTGAGATATCTTATGACCATTAATGACCATTAATGACCATTAATGACCATTAATGACCATTAATGACCATTAATGACCATTAATGACAATGTCAGTTTCGGAAAAATCTCAAATACTGACATTAATGGTCGTTGCATTACCCCCATCTAACAGTAACTTATACGGTGGATGTGGCATGTTCCTGACATGTGGCATGTTTCTGGCATGTGGCATGTTTCTGGCATGTGGCATGTTTCTGGCATGTGGCATGTTTCTGGCATGTTTCTAATATGCCAGGGTAACCTTGTCCTTCAGTTTTGATCAGTATTTCCTTGAAGCGTTGAATGAAGGGTTACAAATGAAATATCATTTCACGATTGTATCGGTAACAAATTAAATGATTATGTTATGTAAATTAAGACATGATTAATGATTATACACTGCAACACAAAACATTAAAACTATGTAACCGGTATTTGTCTCCTTAAAATCAGCGGTTTCAAAAACGTCCACTCTTCCTTCGGAACAGATAACGTTCATCAATTCTCCTCAATCACCATATATAATCCTATCCAGCATGCCTGAAGACAGCCCTAACTTTGCTGAGCAGATCATGCTTGATCCTTGCGTTCCTAGAGACAATGATAACAGGAGACAGCAGTGAGTTGGAGACAATGATAACAGGAGACAGCAGTGAGTTGGAGACAATGATAACAGGAGACAGCAGTGAGTTGGAGACAATGATAACAGGAGACAGCAGTGAGTTGGAGACAATGATAACAGGAGACAGCAGTGAGTTGGAGACAATGATAACAGGAGACAGCAGTGAGTTGGAGACAATGATAACAGGAGACAGCAGTGAGTTGGAGACAATGATAACAGGAGACAGCAGTGAGTTGGAGACAATGATAACAGGAGACAGCAGTGAGTTGGAGACAATGATAACAGGAGACAGCAGTGAGTTGGAGACAATGATAACAGGAGACAGCAGTGAGTTGACAAGGGGCAGCACCGTCTCAACAATCCCAAACACCCGATATTCTGCTGGGTGGTAATCAGGTCCGTGGTATACCAGCTGTACGATGAAGGTGTCAATGGTGAGGGCGGCATTGCACACCAAGAAGAGCGACGCTAAGAGGGTGACTGTTGTGGTAATGTAGTTCCAGTCATCAAAGTGTTGCCCTCCGTCTTCATCACTTCTCGCTCTAGATCTTCGTACCACAACGATCACCTGAACTAGCATGCTAACGAACACAGCTAGAACGGGCAACAAGTAGATCAAGGTGAGAAGAGTGAACTCAACAGCAGCGGTGGGTGCTGCATTAAAGTGAGAGCCAATATAGACACGCCAAGCAATGGCCTGTCCAGGAAAAGTGATGCTTGCCATCAGAGAGACAACGAAGAAAAAGAAAACAATGACTTGCGTGAACTGCATTTCGGGCGTTATGTCCACCAAGAAGTAAACATCAAAAATAGTAAGAGCGACAAGGAAAGTAAGAAACCCTAAGAAAGCCCCCCGCAAAAGCCTTCATAACCATAAATTTAGATAAAATGGGTTACAGATAAAGACTGTCCTGGAGACAGCAAGCAGGGTGTTGAAAAATATAGAGGCAGCATAACCAAGCAACCCAACTACCCTGTAGATCACATAGCACCACCACATAGTCCTCTCCGCGTGGTTCTCCGGACCGTGAAACCACAACAACACCGACGACAATATTCCCAACGGCTGCTGAGATATCGCAGCAAGCAATGCAGACAAAAAGCGCCGGAGTTAACTTGAAGATGTTGCGACGGTAGTAGGCTATCACGAGACTGTTCAAAATGATGATTAAGAGGCTGAGAGTGATGTTTACTGGAGCTATATCCTTGTAGGCTAGTTCGAAACACTTCTTGGCTATGTCTCTGACTCCAGTGGCTTGGGGCACAGTGCGCAGGAACATTGTAAATAGAACAGTGTTCTAGTGCTACGGACTTACAATCGTAAGGAATGAGTTTTTCGAGAAGTAATCTAAAGAATAGAATTCCAGATGTGGAATGGTTTTAGAGTTATTGACTCTGGTAACCTGATATTTTTATGTGTGGCCCTTACAACTGATTCAGCAACTCGAAGGCTTCTCACATAAAGGATTCAAATCAGCTGATCAATCGCAGTACCGCCATTGGTCAGCATGATATTCTTCACGATATTCGGGAGATCAATAGATATGAGCTTATAGACAACATTTCTTATCATGGTCCCATCATGGTCAAAACCTAACAATTTACAGGGAACAAGAAATTCTGTTCTTGACAATATTGCTTTAAATTTGTGCTTTGAGATTGTAATATAAAAAATGTTCGAGGATTCCGTTCCCGCTGTCCCTGAAAGAAAAAGGTGTTAAAATATTGCCTACTCATTCAACTATGAACTAACCTCTCATCATTTTTTGTCTCTCACTGACCAACAGAGCAACAGGATCAAGAGTTTCTTTCTTCTTTTTCTCCCCCTTCTTCTTCTCACTATCTTTGTATTCCTTCTCTAGAGATAGTTGACGACGTTAAAATTTGTTATATAATATAAAATATCAATCGATATTCGATGAGTCTCAAAAAAAGAGTTTTAATCTCAAATTAATATCAATATCATTAAGTCAAATGCCGATATGTCACAAATGGAAGCCATTAACCTTTAACTTCTTCGTTCTGCCAATCCTCAGGATCAAAATCTTTGTAGATCTTTTCTTTCTTAGACTTAACATCCTCAGTTCCCTCTGTTTTTCGAACGATGTAGGTATCCTCGGGCATTCCTACGCTGCTGCCACTTTCAGAATCACTGCACCCAGTCTGAATAAAAAGGTTTGCGGCGTTACCAATCGAATTTTATAGATATGCAATATATGCATAAGATTAGAATTGGTAATAAGATCATAAAATATAGCTACCACCTTTGAAAGGGATGAGGATAAAAGTTAAGGATTCAACTATAATCAGTAGAATAGGTTCATTGTAGATTTTGGTCCTGAAATTTTTTACACAGATTCTGGAGCATCATAGCATATGACTGGAGACGTTTTCAAATCGTCAGATTAAATGTGAGGCGAGTTAATAGTAAGAGTAACTTGGTCGCCTATTTTGGGACACCCTGTATAACAGCCATGTATTAGTATGCCTGCAGATATATCATGCACAAAACAAACCTTCTCGTTACCCACATCCTTCAAGTCAGGTTCGCTGTTTGGTTCGTTTAACATTGTCTCGAGATCCTTGAGTAATTCATCGTTTTCATCATCCGTTAATTTAGACTTATCTAATAAATCTTCTTTTGCCATGTTCTTCTTCCGCGATTTCTTCAACTTCTTCTTTTTCTTTTTCTTGATAAAGCTTTCAATGTCTGAGCTCGATTCTTTGCCGTCAGTTGGGACGCTGTCTGAATCAAATTTTTTAGCGTTCTTCGACAACATAGGAGCATCCGAGTCCATATCAGATTCTATATTATCCACCAAGAATTTCTCCCGATTTGGTTCAAGAGATAGTGATGGTGATGTCATCGGCTGATTTTCGTCGATAACTAGCTGATTTTCTTCATCTGAACTGTCATCTAAAACCGTTCTTTTCTTTCGGTGGAAGTTCTCTTCGTCTGAGGATAGAGCGCCATTGTCTTTCGGAAGAATGGTCTTGGACGAATTGACAGAACGCTCAATCTGAAAGAAAATTAGTTGAAAAAATTAGAGACACCCATGACCCATCTTTAATTATGTTCAATGTTGATTGGAGGTGTACAGTGACACCTCTTGATCTAGCTCAGCTCTTTGAGATTTGCATTGGCGCGAAAATAGCGCGCGCGCTCGAGCAAACAAATTTAATACTCGCGCGGAGATATCTGGCGAAAAATTGTCTGCGCTTTCCGTAAAAACTTAAAGAAGACCGTTTTAGACGTAGTATTGAGACAGAGTATCCACATTTAAATTGTCACGAAGAATCTAAAAAGAGCGGCTGAATAGAGCGGCTATATATTGCTAACTGTAGCTATTAATTGTAATGCTTGGAATGCTTATTCTTAATAATAATATGTATTAAGTTATGAGTAGCACCTACCGGCTATAATAAGTTTTTTTGCGGCCAATCATATCATTAATTTTTCTGTCGCGATGAGGTGATATCTGTGACAAATAGTTGAAGGAGTCATCACATTCCTTTGTCTCTTCACCAAAAACAGAGTCAATAATCATTCAAAAAAATACTTTCCATTTTCAACTGAAATCGCTTTAAAAAGAAAGCTTACGTTTTCGGATGAGGCGTTAAGCTTGTTCTCTTTATTAGTTTCATCTTCTACTGTCAACATAGCTGGCTTTCGGATCCGGACGGTACCAGCAGCTAAATAAACAGATGATTTTATTAAGTACGTGTGACATTAGACACTTTCGTGGATAAGTTCGTAATATTATATTGAAGATATTTGTAGAAAATTTGACTAAAAACTTATCTGATGAAGATTTCGTAATATGAATGGAGGTTAATTTTAGTGTCTGTTATTTTACTCCTCAAAATCAATAAAATTACAATACAAAGTTTTACAAATCATGCTACTAATACCCAGGAAGAAATAAACAACCATCAAAATTTATCTCAAAATACAGATCCTCAAATGCAAAAATATAATCTTGTTCATTTCAATCCAGACCACTGTAAACTGATGTAGGAAACATTTGAGCCGTCCACTGTCCCCAAAACAGCTACCTTTTTAACGGATGTTGCCAGTCTGGAAAAAGCTAACAATTCATTGGCTTTCATTCTGAAACCCTTGGGGACAACTTTAACTATGAAATATGCATGAAACACTAATGGGTCTCCAGGGTAAACGAGAAAATCTCCACCAAATTTTGATCCTGAAGTGATTAAATAGTTTCTGTGACGAAGATCTTGAAGGACCATAAGGCGCATTTTTTCAGATTCAGACAATTCAAATTCGTTGATATCACCGAAACTTTGGGACCAAAATTCTCTAGATTGCCTATTAAAAACCCTTTGTAAATGATAAGGTGGGTTATCAATATCAATTTTTCCACTCAGATTCAAATGTACAGGCTCTTCCACAGGATCCTGAACAAACTTCTGAGACTTACTAAAAATTTTATTCTGCAAAAACTCATTCTGTTCCTTGTAAGACTTTGCTAAATAATCAGCATACTTTTCTTCAGAACCAACTACTGGCATGTCTTTTTGTTTAACAATATTAACTACGCCCTCCCTGTGCAGAACAATCGCTTCCTCTTTCATGATTTCGAGAGGCAGGCCCAATGCTCTGTTCTGTCGTGGCTTCTTGGTAAGGTCCCTACTAAAACACCACTAACACCAAATTTCTCCCGAAGAAATATCGCTGTTTCAGCTTCCCATACAAGGAAAGATCCATCCACGAAATAAATATTAACCTTTTCATATTCTGGTTTGAAGGATCTGCTACATGCTTGGGTATTGCGAATATCACATAGTATTCCTCCCCCGATCATTACCTGATTATGATGAACATATACCTAGCCTGAGTGGTGAATGTATTAGAATACAATATACATAGTACATACTGAATACAACATTAGAATAGCTTAACAGTATAATAGTGATTACAAAATAAAATAATGATTTCAACGAAACTAGAACAAAAGATACTTTTTACTTGCTCGAATTGATCATTGTTACATTCAAATAATGAAACATGTAAAATTAAAAAGTATTCACAAACGTTACACATATACCGGTAGTTTTAATATGCCCTGGTATTGTTACTTGCAAACAGTGAACTTGCTGACAGAGATGATCATAGAAAAACTGGGATTAGACAATACAAAAAATAGTTTATTTATCGTATTATAAACAGTGAACACTTGATTTACCGGAAAAATCAGGGGGGAGGAAAATTTGATTACAATAAATCTGGATGTATCATGTAAATCAGCTCAGGTTACCAATCAAAAGTTTTGGTACCCATGGCCATGTAAAGCACAGATTCGTGAACTAGCTGATTAGCTTTTCTAAAAGCTTTTAGCTTTTCTTAGAGTATTTGGCAATGATAGGTACCATTATACCACTGAAAGCTAAACGAAGCGGTTGGATACACTTTGTCAAAATCATCGCCAACCCAAAACATGCTGCTTTAGAAGAAGGTGCTCCGGTGAGAAAAGAGCGATCGTAACCTGCCTTTGCTAGAAGGTTGTCGACGTTTATGAAGTTTTCAGCAAATGAGATGAATGGCGTTGTATCAAGCCCCCTGAGGTTGTTAATCTTACATGAACATGTAAAATGAACATTAAACAATGTTAAATAACAATATATTATTTGGATTCAGGAATCAGAAGACACTTTTTTCAGCAAATTTTGGGGAGCTGGTTTACCTGTAGATGAGGATGAAGAAAGTTGTAATAGAAAGAACAGAACAACTGGTGTGAAAGACAATGAAAAGCGTTCCATACTTTTGCGTAAAAGCTTTCACAGTACTACTTAAATTTGAAGATCCTGAAAATGTTCTCCTGAAACCCAAATTTACTCTCTGATAATGATTAGCTGATAGCTGACATTTGTTCGCCGAAGAGTATTGCCTAAAAGAGCTTGCACTCAGGGTTTGAAAGGAAACTTGCAAATTATTTCCTGTTGCAAGCTTTTGTTGACAGGATACAGAAGAAAGTGACAAGGGAGCAGTTGGTATTACAGAACTTATGATTCTGCTTATCTGTTGGAATCTGACTTGAAACATGATTCCTGACTGACCATACCATGTACCTAGTAATTATCAGTAATCAGTAATTATCAGTAATTATCATATCAGTAATTATCAGTAATTATCAGTAATTATCAGAAAGTATATTAGGACTAGTATACAGAAAACTTGAAGATGATCAAAAAGATAAAAATCTTTTGAAAATTACAAAATCAGTCTAGCTGTTTCCAAGCACATATTATGTACAAAATACATCTGCAATGTACAAAAAATGTATTATTGGAAGTTTAAAAGATCGTTTCCTTCGAATCTGTGACACACGGAACACAATTCCCAACAGTTGTATTAAGCACCCCCTAAGAACCCTTGCCAGCAAAACCCTTTCCAAAGACAGCATGGCTGATCTGCTGGATAATCTCTACAGCAATGATGAAATGGAGAATGAGCCCCCGGAGTCTGAGCCACCCCCACACTTAACCCCACCCTATCCATCTCCACCACTCCGTCAATCAGGGTGGCATGTTAACAGACATGCCACAGACAGATGTGAGCACAGTGTATATCAGCAGCAGCATGTTTAGACATCTGGATGAAAAACTGTTAAGCTCTTCGACTCGTGGACCAAAGTATTTTTCTACCCAGGGGCCAACTCAGTCCAAATGTCCCAAAGACTCTTCAGTGACAGTCAGTTCAAAATTCTAAACAAAGAAAAGGTTAAAAAGGTTGTTCTACTAACTGGTACTAACTATGTTGATTCCATTGACCTCAACACAATGAACTTCAACAGTGCTACAAAAGACATTGAAGAATTTGTTGAAAAATTGTGGGCAGAATTTAATATTGCGAAAATATATATTTTAAACATTCTGCCTAAAGCTGTCACTAGATAGATATTATCCAGGGACTGGGAATCGATACTTAGAAAATATGTGTTATAAGCATGGGCTATTATACATAAACACAGAACACGAGAATAATCTCTTTACTTAATAAATAATAATAGAAAGGACAAGTATTTTGGCCATTAATATTTTATGATATAAACTGCAGTATGGTTGCTGCTTTTTTGTGATTCTTTTCAATCACCACTGGTGACACTATTTATCTCACATTCTCATTTTGCTTTATATGCACACATTGATAAACAAAAATCTTGCTATTGGTCTATGTAATATACAGGGGGGCTTAACTAACTTGGCAAAGACCCTTGAACTTCAAGAACAACTAGATATTATCGGAATTAATGAAACCAACCTTAAATCTGATATTTAAAACACTAGCACACTAAACTTCGACTTTTTAAGATGTGATAGACCTAAATGACAAGGGAAGAGGAGGATGTGGTATGTTGATTAACCAAAGTGTGAATTACAAATTAATCAACCTAGATATAACCTACTCTGATCTTTCAAAAGTTGAAGCCATCTGCCATATGGATACAACTCAAGGATGCTAATATCTACATTTGCTGTTTTTATAGATCACACAACTTTTGTCATTTAGATAAATTCGTTGATTATATGACTGAATGTATGATGAAACTTCAAGGAAAGAAAGTAATATGGATCGGAGACGTAAATTTTAACCAGAACTCCTTGTCTGATTTAGACTATAAAAAACTAGATATCACAATTTCGCCCCTCCAAACAAATCTATAGATATCACAATGAAGCTCTTTGGAATGATCCAGACTGTTACAGGAATAACAAGAGTTGCAAACCTGGACGACAGGATAACCCAAAGCACAATTGATGTTGTCATGACTAATTGCTACTCAAATTTCATAGAGTGTAAAATGCTCAATGATAGAATAAGAAACCATCAGGCTCATCCTATGAAATAAACAATGGGGGGTAGGAAGCTCAATCTTTTCAATCTCAATTTTGGAAAAATCGTGTTTCAGAATTGAAAAAATTGAAAAAATTGAAAAAATTGAAAAATGGACATCTTTATCTCTCCAAGTAACTAAATAATACACGAGCTAAATGTATGATGAAAACATGTTTCAAACTTATTACTGTGAAATGATTAATTATCTTATATTTGAGTTTGATCCTTTTGAACAGCTGCTGAGCAATAAAACGCAAGCATAATATTAAATAGCAGAAATGATTCGGTAAAATATGATCAAAGTAATCATCACAACAGATCATAAATGGGATGAATAGCATGAGAAAACAACTGAGTTCATTAGCTCTGGGGAGGGGGGGGGGGGGGGATTTTAGCCTCATCAACCCTCATATATCGGAAAAATCGGGAAAATTTAAATCTTCCCTCCGAGGTTTCTAGGCGATATAGGTAGCTATTTCTGTACTTAAATATGACAAGAAATCGATTGGTGGTGGTCCCAGAACCCCAAAATGCTTTCTTGTTCCAAACAAGAATCTTTTCGTCCGAAAAACAAAACATTGTCGTATCAACTCTTGTTTGACAGAAACATCCACCCCGGTCCATAATTGAAAGAGGTACGGTTGCAGTTGGTAATTACAATTGTAACAAATAGCGAACGCTTTAGTAACTTTTGATTTAAATTGTCTCCACAATTTGTAACAGGCTATCAGCAGAAATGGGTAGCACGGTTAATGACCATGGTCCTTTCTCAAACCTCCAATCTTCAGTTAGATACAAAGAATAGTCTACACAATTTTTAATAACATTAAAAGGGATGAAAATCACTTTATTTATCAAAATTTTTATTTATCGTGTAACAACTTTTCCATAGAACTGGAGAGTAAAACTCTGTTAAACAAAAAATTCTCGAGCACATTTTGAGTCAGGAACAGTAACATTTCAATATCTTACAGACTCAAATGCGTTTAAAAACATTTTAGTACGATAAATTGTGTAAACTGATGAGGAGGAGGAGGAGGACTGAAGAAGAGGAGGACTGAGGAGGACTGAGGAGGAGGAGGAGGAAGAATGAGGAGGAGGAGGACTGCAGGGAGGACTGACGAGGAGGAGAAGGACCGAGGAGGACTGAGGAGGAGGAGGAGGAGGAGGAGGAGGAGGACTGAGGAGGAGGAGGACTGAAGATGAGAGGGAGGACTGATGAAGAGGATTGGTGAGGAGGAGGAGGAAGAGGAGGACTGAGGATGGGGAGGAGGAGAAGGAGGACTGAGGGAGGACTAAGGAGGAGGAAGAGGACTAAGGACGAGGACTAGGAGGATGAGGACGAGGACTAAGGACGATGAGGAGGACGACTCAGGACGAGGAGGAAGAAGATGAGGAGGATGACTGATTAGGAGGAGAAGGAAGAGGAGAAGGAGGAGGAGGAGAACTGACGAGGAGGACTGACGAGGAGGAGAAGGACTGAGGAGGAGGACTAAGGAGGAAGAAGATGAGGACTGTGGAAGAAGACTGAAGAGGATGAGGAGGACTGAGGAGTAGGACTGAGGAGGAGGACTGAGGAGGAGGAGGACTAAGGAGGAGGATGAGGAGGAGGAGACTGATGAAGAGGAGGAGGACTGAGGAGGAGGAGGACTAAGGAGGAGGATGAGGAGGAGGAGGATGAGGAGGAGGAGGACTGAGGAGGAGGAGTCAGGAAGATGACTGATAAGAAGGAGAAGGACGATGAGGAGGACGACTCAGGACGAGGAGGAGGACGACTGAGGAGGATGACTGATTAGGAGGAGAAGGAAGAGGAGAAGGAGGAGGAGGAGAACTGACGAGGAGGACTGACGAGGAGGAGAAGGACTGAGGAGGAGGACTAAGGAGGAAGAAGATGAGGACTGTGGAAGAAGACTGAAGAGGATGAGGAGGACTGAGGAGTAGGACTGAGGAGGAGGACTGAGGAGGAGGAGGACTAAGGAGGAGGATGAGGAGGAGGAGACTGATGAAGAGGAGGAGGACTGAGGAGGAGGAGGACTAAGGAGGAGGATGAGGAGGAGGAGGACTGAGGAGGAGGAGTCAGGAAGATGACTGATAAGAAGGAGAAGGAGGAGGAGGAGGAGGACTGAGGATGAGGAAGAGGAGAAGGAGGACTGGGGGAGGACTGAGGAAGAGGAAGAGGACTGAGGAGGATCAAGACGAGGACTAGGAGGATGAGGACTAGGAATAAGGACGAGGACTAGGAGGATGAGGACTAAGGACGATGACTAAGGACGAGGAGGAGGACGACTGAGGAGGAGGAGGACTGACGGGGAGGAGAAGGACTGGGGACTGAGGAGGAGGAGGACTGAGGAGGAAGAAGATGAGGACTGAGGAAGAAGACTGAAGAGTATGAGGAGGACTGAGGAGTAGGTCTGAGGAGGAGGAGGAGGACTAAGGAGGAGGATGAGGAGGAGATTAATGAGAAGGAGGAGGAGGAGTCAGGAAGAGGACTGAAGAGGATTCAGGAGGAGAAGGACTCAGGAGGAGGAGGAGGACTGACGAGGAGGAGAAGGACTGGGGACTGAGGAGGAGGAGGACTGAGGAGGAAGAAGATGAGGACTGAGGAAGAAGACTGAAGAGTATGAGGAGGACTGAGGAGTAGGTCTGAGGAGGAGGAGGAGGATAAAGGAGGAGGATGGGGAGGAGATTAATGAGAAGGAGGAGGAGGAGTCAGGAAGAGGACTGAAGAGGACTCAGGAGGAGAAGGACTCAGGAGGAGGAGGAGTCCGAAGACTTAGGAGGAGGAGGTGGACTGATGAGAAGGAAGAGGAAGACTAACGAGGAGGTGGAGGACATCTAAATGTTTTGTCTGTTTTTGTCCGCCCTACTTTTTGTCCGTTTTGAAAATACAGGGCACCCCCAGCCAAGCATGTGTTATGATACAAATGTACTTGACTATACATTTAAGGTGCAGTGTACTAGTGATATTATGGTATGTTTAAAGACCGGACCACAAAATATAACCCGGTACCTAGTGTTGTACTAATACATAATAACAAGTAACAGGGATAAAATTAATGAGCAGAAACAATCGATCTCAGGTCAAGAGGCCAAAGCACTCGGGTCTTGGAGTACATGACAACTCCAACTAGTAGTGAGCATACTAGCCCCTGCAGTGCAAAAACACATAAAACATACTATTGGAATGTCCAATTGGTTCGTTTTCTCGTAACAATATAGCATATGTAGGGGT